AGAGTCAGAAGGTCCACTTGCCCCGTCTCGAACCCAGACAATCTTTGTGCAAGTCATCTATTAGCAAACACTATACACCGGCAGATAGAAGATTACCTCTTCTAGCACTGAGGACATGTCCCCCATCATCCTTTTTGGGTTTTCTTGAAATAAACAATTTTGAATTTTTCCACTCGACCATTCTGAAATACGTCCAAACTCATACCTGCGCAGGAAAGCTCGCCCCTCCGCGACGTCTAGTCAGCAATTTATACTCCAACACTACTCCCAACGCTGCAGAACAAAGTGTATTGTTGACTCTGACAAGGAAAAGCAGCGGTGATCACTTGTCACTCCAAACGACAAGCTTCTCCTTGCGCCACCAACATATTTCGGTGCAACAGTTGATCCAAAAGTGACTGATTTTTTGCGTGTAGTATTTCAGAATGGTCGAGTGGAAAAATTCAAAATTGTTTATTTCACGAAAACCCAAAAAGGATGATGGGGGACATGTCCTCAGTGCTAGAAGAGGTGTTCTACTATTTGCCGGTGTAAAGGAACGGATTGCGACGGGGCTTGCGCGAATGGTTCCTCACCTCAATGAAGAACACGCAAAAACTAAGAGAAGTCGTCGGAAAACTCAGGAAACAGGGAAGGAAGGGGGTGAATATCACTATCACAAAAGGTATCTACGTGTGTGCCACTGTGTGGTACGAACTGACATGAAGAACGAAAAGAGATCGTGGAAGATTGGTTTTTCGATGTACATGTAGTTCCTTTTGGAGTCGCTGCAGTAGATGTACATGTCTCAGTTGCTTCGATCATTGTTCTTCTGAGTGGCATAGAAGCTGCTCAGGAGAGGCGAGAAGATGGAAAACGCGATCGAAAATGCACGTGAAAGTTTCCAAATTTCAAAATTCTCAGACCCTTGAGTACGGAAGAGCGCATGCGATAGGTGTCCTCGTATCCGGGCTAATCTGGCCAGGATTATGTGAACTGTAACAGCAGTGATTTGGGGTGCTAGTGCCGAATTGGGCCAGCACCGTACTCACCTTTTTCTGTAGTATTCATATTTGGTTACAGTGTGCTCGTAATGGTGTTGCTGCTGTTTTTCCCCGAAACAAAGAGCTCTTTCCGGTTGGTGAAAGAGCTGCCCAATTCATTCTTATCATCGACTTCATTATTTGAAATGATCTTACTCGTAGCCTTGACCAGAGTCAAGCTACAACAACCGTAGCTCTTGTTGTGTGTTATGGACTGACATAGATAATCGGCCAGTGATACACAACAGATAGTGATTATTAGCAGCATATCGTTGTGAGACCATCGGCACACAGCCTCTCATTTTTGATTTTACAATCAAGTGCTGATCATAGTCTGTCAATAATTCTAAGGACACACCTGAGTACATCAACAGAGCATCCCAGGCAAATCCAGGCAGAGTGTAGTAACTTGCTGGATCCAGCTGATACGTCCTGACAGCTTCTTCTTTGAAATTCTTCAAGTTGTCAGCCAAGAGAAACACGTCTGTCTTGAGATACAAGTCGGGGTAGTCACCAAAACTCTGACAATTGAATTTCACCCCAATTGTCTTGGCATGTTGTCATCATCACCCACCCCCTCATCAGACAGTGAAGAATAGAACGACGCAGGAGACCCAGTCCCAATGTGGTATCCTCACCTGATTTGAAAAATTCCAAAAAACAAAAAGAGAGCAACAACATCGACCCTGGCCACAGCCAACCCCTTGCCCCAGCACAGGGCTCACGCTTCAGCCCACTGGTGTCACAGGATACTCAATCCTAGCCTACAGACTCAGTACCGTTGTTCTCCACACAATATCAGTGGGAACAATACCTTCAATTGAGGAAATACCAAAAAAACACGAAACACATACAAAAATAAATAAAAAATAATGGAAGTCGCGAATTTCATCAGCTCGAACGTCAGGTGCCTGTTCGACAAGATGGACGAGCTTAGCCACGTGGCAGAGTTGCAACAACCGTCAATAATCGCCATCCAGGAAACCTGGGCTGATCCATCGGACAGCGACAGGATGTACGCCATCAACGGCTACAAACTCATAAGAGCGGACCGGGACACCTTTGGAGGAGGAGTCGCCACATACATACCACACAGCTGCCAACACGAGACAATTACCATTCCAATGATTCAAGCGGAATGTATTTGGATTAGAATAACAACCGGCCAAGACTCCATTGTGGTAGGGAACATCTACCGTCCCCCACGGTCCGACCTGGCAGAGTTCGTGATGGAACTGGAGAGAGCCATAAAGCTAGTTGAAAGACCCCAGGATGAGATACTTCTCCTTGGCGATTTCAACGCTAAGAACTGCCTGTGGCACCCCAGCGACACCAATGATGCATTTGGTGAGGACTTGCATTGACTCGTGGCCTCACACAACACGTCTCCTTTGCCACCCACCTACGCCAACACACACATGCATCGTGCCTGGACCTGGCCATCTCTAGCTTCAGCCGCAATAATATCACCATCAAAAGCCTGCCCCTATGGGTGCCTCTGATCACGTTGTTAAACAAGGCAACCTACGACCCCAGCAGCACACCACCCACAGAAACAATAATAACAATAATAATAATGAGTGCGAGAAAGTTTTCGCCAAAGACAACCTTGAACTTAACCTTCAGAAAACCCACACATTCATCGTCAACTCGTACGAACAACTACAGGAACTGGCGACAGCAGCTGCTCACGTGCACTATCCCAACACATAGGCCATGGCTCAGAAGCTGGCCAACGAAGATGCCGATCAGACCCGAGCTCTTGTCAATCAAGTAAAAGCCTGCATGCCACCCGCTATCGCATACTGCTTGCATAAGTTCCACTCTACCAGGTTGTTGTGTTTATTTTAATTCGCAAACCAAACGGGCAGATCTGCCCAATGAAAAGGTGGCAAATGCAGATAGAAAGCAGTAAGAATGAAATTGGGGAGGGATGTAATAAGGATTGAGGTGGAGAGAAACTAACCCAGCTGATCATCAAACAAGACGTTTGGTACTCTAGGTACTAAGGGAGAGCGGGATCATGCTGGCCGTGCAGCTGTACAGAATCCTCCGCATATTCTGCCAAGCCAAAGCCCGTCAACTGCAACCAAATCATTAGGACGTAGACCAGCTTCGTCGCCTTCCTTCTCTGGGCCAAGATGTGGCCAGTCAACATCTAAACGATGAATTGCCTGTGTTCTTGGTGGCTGCTGCAGATGTCAAAGCATGCGACAACTGTCTACTTTGGCGGAAGAACCAGAGTAGCCTTCCACATTGGCAGAGGGCAGCCCTGGCTATATTCTGCCTTGTGCCATCTTCAGCGGCTGTTGAGCGTGTTTTCTCCCTGCTCGCAGCCCTCACAAGTGCCAAGAAAGGAATCATGGAAGATCAACTGGAGGCCACGCTAATGCTCCAATTCAACCGCTGCAGACACATGCAGTAAGGTGTTCCATACCTATTGTGTCCACCACGTATGCCATGATCGATCTCAAGTCTGTTCCACTCACATGCAAGATCAACTGGAGGCCATGCGAATGCTGCACTGATTCAGTCATGGCAGGCAGGGTCATCACGATATTCCATACCTCTTATGTTTCCCACCTATTCTTCCTTCAATAGTCGCCCTCAAGTCTGTTACACTCATTTACAGAACATTGTCAGGTGGAGACTATCGGGAGAGTGGAGTGCGAGAGCATGCCACAAGTCACCAAATTTGGAGGCTAGGCCAAAGGCGTTCGTTAGGCACGGTCGGAGCGTGTTCGTCGTCCTCGTGCTGGTCATTCCGAGTTGATAGATGATCCCTTGAGGGCACCAGACGATTCATCAGCTGGGCATGTCTCAGGACGGATATTTGGTAGGCCACTTAACAGATCCATTGTCTAATCATCACCCGCAGGTGATCAGGATGGTGGAGACGTAGAATCATACTTGTCGAAATTCCATAGACGTGAGTACAGAGGTCTAGGCCAGAACTCTCTCGAATTTACTAGTACTGCACACTTAGCATCCAGAACAAGACTTGTCACGGAGGACGTTTCCTTTTGGAAAATTTTGTAGATCTTGACGTTCACTTTGGCTTCACTTGCTCTGATGGTCACAAACTCAGCAATCTTCTCAGGTACTGCACTGCAGGGAAGATTGCCAACGAACATCACACACTTCCTTCCGGCAGGCTTTCGTTCACAAACAAGTTCATATACTCCACTGTCTTTGTTGTCCTCTTCGAAATTAGAAAGTAAATCACTCTCCGCTATGTTGGAAGCATTTTTCGAATATCCGAGCTGCGATACGATTGTGCTCTCAGGAGAGGAACTAGAACTGTCGACACCTACGGAGGTCTCGGAGGTCGTACGGTGGTGGCTGCCCGGAGTATCCATATTTGTACTTGTTGATGTAGCAGCTCCACCAGGTCGTTTTTTTCTATTTTTTTTGGCTTTTCTTGTTAGTTGTTTTTTGGTCGACTTTTTCGGAAATTCCAGCACCGTGATCAAATGACGATGATCCAGCAGCTTTCAGAGACAGTTCTTCAACCTTCCGGGTGAGCAGACTAATCTTGGACATCAAACGCTTCTCTCGATCTGCTGCCTCGCGTCGCTCTCGCTGTATTTCGACTACAAATTTCCGCCAGGCCATTTAGGCAATCACTACATTTGTTTGTAAGAACTGAGCTGAACGAAGGACTCCCATATGTGTGGAGTCAACCACTATACTACTTGCACTTGTCGCCATGGTCAGAGCAAAAAAAACTACTGACATGGGACAACCTAAAACAGAAAACTTTCACAAAAGGATGCAGAGCTCTTAAACTTGCATCCGCATCCTAGTCCGCACAAATTATGACATACTTATTCTATGAAAGTGTTGTGTAGCTTCATTGACACACAGTGTTGTGTTCTACTCCTCCTATAAAGGTTTACCGCCTGGTATGTTAGCGGCCATCACTGAAACCAAGTATTCGCAAATATTTTAGTCCCCTTTTATCCTCTCCCTTTGTAGATACCTGGCGAATAATCAACTTGCAAGCCTTCCTACAAATGTATTTGCCAACCTTTCAGCCCTTCAGTTCCTGTAAGTTAACCCTTATTCCGGGTTGTTGGACCCTAACGGACCCCAGGGGTATGATTTTTGAAATATTTTTACTTTGCTGCATCACATCTTCCTGAAACTTCATGTATTTTTCGCAGGCACAATACCTGAGGTAAATACTCAATCTGCGGACAGACCTGTTTCGTCCTTTGTGGACTCAGGAGTGCAGCACAGAGGAAATGAGGCCAAACCTAATGGAAATGAAAAGTACATATTCCAAAACCCCTATTTAATTAAAGCAAGCACGAACATACCCTGTCAGAGTGCTCAAACTGTCAAGTCAGTGAGCTCTGCATAACACAAACATCAAAAGCGCTACCCCACACAAGAGTGCTCAACTGACTTAACCCAGAAGAACTTGTGTAGTATTACCGGCAACCCAAGCGCCATGTGGAACGAGTGGTGTAGCCGGTTTATTGAGGTTTTGGATGTCCATGCCCCACTTCAAAGTAATCACAGAACGAAGAAGCCTTCAGTGCCATGGATTGACCGGCAATTGTTGTACTTACTACACAAGCGGAATAGGTTGCACCGAAAGTGGCTCTCTGCTAAGACACAGGAGACTTACGATGAATTCAGTACAGCCAGATGTGCGGCAACTAGCTACAACAGGACCCGGAAACAGGAATTCTACAACTCCAAATTTCAGCAATGTACTGGAAATGCCAGAGAGACTTGGAAAATAATCAAGGAGTTGACAGACAAACAGTCGACGTACAGGGATCCACAGTGCACGGTGGATGCGATTCGAGACACTTTTTTGAAAGTTGTGGAAGATCCAGCTCGCCCTGCACAGCTACGCCTACCCCTTGGGCCTCCACCTGCGGTGCACTTCTCGGAATTCTTGCCAGTCTCCATTGCAACTACTCGGGAAATGTTGGAACAGTTGGACACCAGAAAATCAACTGGGAGTGATGATATTCCAGCAAGTCTCCTCCAGATGCATGCTGACATCCTGGCACTGTCACTCACGCTACTATTTAATAAGTCATTGAGAGAAGGACAGTTTCCTGCGGCAATGAAGGTGGGTAAGATACGGCCTCTGTTCAAAGCTGGAGACCCCAGCCAACCCAAGAATTACCGACCAGTCTCCCTATTGCCGATAGTGTCGAAAGTGCTTGAACGTATTGTTCATAAGCAGCTTCTGCAGTACCTCAACACGAACAATTTCTTGCCTACTAGTCAGTTTGGTTACATACACCAGCATTCCACAGCAGATGCCTTAGCGCTAGCTGTAGAGAACATCAATGAAGCACAAGCCGCTGGGCAGCACACAGGAGTAGCATTTGTCGACATGTGTAAAGCCTTCGACAAGGTAAAGCATAGCATTCTGGTTGAGGACCTCTTTGAACTGGGTCTCACTAGCACTGCTTTGCAATGGTTTTCAGACTACTTGATGTATCGCCGGCAATACGTGGAGACAGGAAAAACCAGAAGTACAACTTATGACAGCCTGTCAGGGGTTCCTCAAGGGTCAGTTCTCGGACCTTTGCTCTTCATTCTGTATATGTGAGGGATATTGCCGGCGACCTTGCCCCTCATGACGTCACCATTCAGTTTGCTGATGACATCTCGCTGCGTGCGAGCAGTCCACAGCCAGAAGTTGTCTCCCAGCGCCTCACTGCAGCAGTTCAGTACCTGGCCACTTGGTTGAAGAAACGTGGACTGATCCTTAACGAGACCAAGACGCAGATACTCGCCATACCACACCATAGAGCTGCAGCCCTCGACATCAATGTTTTATGCAATTCACAAGTCCTACCAGTAGTCACATCTGCCAAATACCTTGGCCTGCATTTTGACTCGGACATGAGTTGGACCACAATGGTGGACCATGTTGCTCGTCGTGTTGCTGGCAAAATTGCTTTCCTGCTGCGACATGCTTCCTCGCTGCCATATCCATGCCGACTCACCTACTTCAGATCTATCATTTTGCCTGATTTTTTGTATGCTTCTATTAGTTACTACCCTTATTTGACAGTTGCCCAGGAACAACGGCTACATAGGCTGTTCAAACGTGCCGCTCGGGCAGTCTGCAAGTCACCACTGTGGACCAGTACTGCTCCCCTGCTAAATTGAATGCATGTATGTGATCTACAGGTTTCTGTGCACTTGAATATGTTTTGTTTCATCTGGCGATGTTTGCATGATGCATGTAGCACCCTGTTTGAGTCCTTTATGCTGTCGTGCCCTCAACTCGCACTCGGGGAGGCCAAAGCAACTTGCTTGTGGTCCCACCTGCTAGCACTGCTCGTTCTGCTAAGCGCCTAACGCACGCTGGAGCCATTATGTGGAATAGATTGCCACCAGCAGCAAAATGTTCAAATAGGTATTTGGATTTTGAATCTCAAGCCTTGCAGTATACCTAACCTTGCAGTACATATTATCAGCGACATAGGTTTTCCAATGCTCACTGGATTGATATCTGTTCGTTGCAACCAACCTTCCGGTTTTTTTTCCTTTCTCTTTTTTTTCTCTTGTATCTACTTTTCCACAATATCCTTTAACATGTTATTCACAGTGGGTCCAATGTTATTAGGCATTTTGCCTGTTTTGATTTCCACTATAAATAAAGTATACAACAACAACAACAACAACAACAACTGGTACAAGAGCAGGAGAATTTGTGAGAAACGGGTACGAGCTGCTGTGCAAGGACATGGAGGTAAAACAAAATTCAGCAGTGCTTATTATCCACTGTCAAATGGTCTCACGGAGCGATTCAGCCGAACCCTTCTTCGCCCACTTCGACAAATGGTGATAGAATCCCAGAATGAGTGGAATAGTATCACAGGAGTAACAAACAGTCGTCCATGTAACTACTGATGAAATGGGTGAAAATCTTTTAGTATTATGAAATTGACAACCTTCTTGTTGTGTGTATATAAATTTTGTTCGCCTTCCTCTCTAAAACGGCGACTGAACCACCGGCTAATTCAAGACCTGAATTATGTTTTAAGGTGCATAGGCCAGATCATCCGTGGTCGTGAGAATGCAGACTTTCTACAGAACTGCCTTACGTGCTGCGTTGCGCCCCGCTCCACCAAGAAGCGGGTGCAGAGAGTTTAAGCCAAGAAGCCATGGAGAATCGAACGCGCCTTTATCAAGGACGAACTGGAGAGGACCACCGCTGACTTGGAACACTTTCTCCTCGAGTACCGCCGTGTTCTTCACGAAGTCAATCGGAGCATCAGCGTGCTGGACCGCTTCAGGTTCACCAAGCTCCTCAAGATTACAACGCCGGATCAAAAGTAAGTTTGACGATGCACTCAGGAGGGACGTGCGCTGTAAGAAGGGCTCAAACGAATTAAAACACTCCCATCTACTCAACTTGGAGTGGTGATAATGCAGCAAAGTGATTACAATGACAAGATGAATGCTATTCTGGCCGATGCATCGAAGTTTCAACACCTGGGACCAACCGAAACGCATGACCGCACTTACCTTGATGAACGCGCCTTGCAGGCATACCTATTGCGATACAAGAAGGCTGGAAAATACTCAATATAGATTACGACCCGGATCCGACCCGTTCGCTCGTGCCGACCTGTCCTCTACGGCGTGCCGAAAGTACATAAGAAAGACTTGCCCGTTAGACCTACCCTGTCGATGATCAATGCTACCCAACACGAAATGGCCAAGTGGCTAGCCGAATTGCTAAAGCCAGTCCTGAACAAATATTCTGCCCGCACAACCAGGTATACCTTCGAGTTGTTGTTTCAAATCTTTATTCTCACGATAGCCAGTGGCCAATATGAGATAATAGTGTAAGAAAGGAGAAAGAGTGAGGAAGAATTGGGTGGGCAGGGCCTAGGGCACGGCTGTTCACGAGCAGGCACATGTAAATATGGCGTCGTTCGGTGCGATTTGTGTAACATTGTGCGAATAGTACAAATACGCAATGATTTTGCGTTTTGGGGAGAACTCATATCGATCCTCCCGTGGTTCCACGATTTGGGACGCGAAACCAAGAGAAAAGGTTTGAAAGCGCTTGAGCAAGATACTCGACTTTGCTGCAATTTGAGAGAGAAAGAGGGCCAAGTTAGCTGTCTTTCCGCTTCAAACTTGCTCGAACTAATCCTGGCAGTCTGGAGGTTGATCTCGCCAGTGATTGTCAGCCTCTGCTTGGCGTGCTCGCGTGTACAACATTCAAGTTAGACATTTCGTAATCGTTCAACGCACAATAGGGTAGATATCACAATTTCAAGCTCACTTGGCCGGCTGATGTCTTCTTTTACAATATCCCACATGCCGACTAAGCAATTTACAGCAGGAAGCAGCCTTCTACACTCAACAGCAACTAAAGGGTCACACCATTTGTCTTCCAAATCAAGAGAAAACCGCTTTCGGACTCGTCGCGCGTATTTAGAAGTTCACCCGCATATTCTAATGACACTTGGGAAAGACATCCAGAGTATAGTCGTCTACCTGGGAAACTATCGATCAAAGCTGGGAAAAAAATCGGGAAGGGCTTCTCGGAGCCGAGTTTGTCAGCGATGACACAAGGAGTATTCCAGAACGAAGCCAAAGTCGCACGACACAGAACAAATGTTTCTTGAAGAAAAGGCAGTCATGTGAGGTACGAGCGCAAAGCTTGAAACAAGACGCAGATGATCAGCGTGGTCGCCGGGCTGTCCGGGCTGACTAGTCTCCAAAATCCATGGGAAACCATGGCCTACTCGTGTTCTGACGATTTGAAAATTCAAATTTTCTTGCCATTGAAGCCCAATCGAGACTTTCGGCGGCCATATTGTTAAGTGGCGTGAAATCGTACAAAAAACAGCCGTGAGGGGTTAATGACTACTTAAGTGTACGGGCAGGGGTGGTCGCTACACGAGCATACAGAGTTGTGTACTTAAGTGTACGGGCAGGGGTGGTCGCCACGCGAGCATACAGAGTTGTGTACTTAAGTGTACGGGCAGGGGTGGTCGCCACACGAGCATACAGAGTTGTGTACTTAAGTGTACGGGCAGGGGTGGTGG